GGTCCAAACAGCGAAAAACCTCCAGTCGTGAGTTATTCCCCAATGGGTGCTTGCACTGAAGGGGTTCTAACGGAAATTAACATATTCTGCGAAAATGTCCCGCCGATTTTGGTGGCCAGCTGGGTCCCCGGGTTCCCGGTTTCGGATTCCCGGGTTCCTGGGTTCCTGATAAGGCCGATTTCGGGTCCCAGGTTGGGTTCCCGGTCGATCTCCTTATCGATATCTTTATCAATCCCACGCTTCATCAAACCATCCATTGGTTGGGGTTTTCTCTCTGGTGTGATTCATTCCCCGAGGGGGTCTGCAACGCAGGTGTGGGCCGGGAAAGCTCCAGGCCACACGGGCAAAACCCACAGGGTCGGTGGCGCTGGCCCGCCCGACTGCCCAACCGCGCGCCGCCAGCGAAGACAGCGCGGGGCGCCGCCCGAGGCGGGAGCGCAGGGCCGGCCTGGCGCGGTGGGCGACGGGAGGCGGGCTGCACCGACAGACCCAGACCCCGTCGAGTGATGAAAAAGATCGCGACGGGAGGTTTCTCGCTCTTGTCGGCCTCTGGGAGCCCGTACCGGGCCTCGGGAACACCGAGGAACGATTCAGGACGACAAGCCGGTCCCGGGGAAGAGATCCAGAGGCTGTGAAAAAATCACGACGTCGGGGGCCCGGGGAAGGGACCCAGACCTTCTCGTCGTCGCAGCGCGGCAGAAGCGATCCGCACGCGCGCCGGGGCGAGACCGGAGGGGGCCCAGACATACGGCGTTCTGATGTGTTCCGTACGCGGTCCTCGGAAGTCCCGCAGACGTGAGGGGACAGAGACAGGTCGGTGCAGACGTGGGGGCCCAATGATCACACACGCGCACCTCTTCTGCGTCGGCGGCGAGGCAGGGGTCGTCTGCGCCAGCTGAGTGGCCTAAACGGGGATACCGTGGAAGCAAGTTGTGCCACCATGCGATGATGCAGGGGAGGGGAAAAGCGGAGGACTCGGCCGCCACACACATACACACACACACACACACACGCACGCACGCACGCACGCACACGCACGCACACTTTCTGGCGTCGCGGCCACGCGTGCGGCGGCGGCGCGGAGTCCGAGTCGTCCAGCGGGTCACGACGGAGCGGGCTGGTCCAGCTCACGCAGCGGGGAGATGCCTGGTGCACCCATAGGGGACCACGCGACAGCACTCGCCAAGGGGCAGGGCAGTCGCGAGGGGACACACACACACACACTCACACACACACACACCACGAGGACGCAGGGGCCCTGGAGTCCCAAGACGGACGGAGATCTGGAGCACTTCTGCCTGCACCCAGATAGGATGGCAGGGCAGGGCATGGATCTCGTGCAGAGGTACGGCCAGAGTCCTGCACGTGAGGGGCCCCAGAGCTTCGTGTCGCCCGGGTTGGGTCACGATGCTCGAGAAACTGGACCTGGACCCCCTTGGTTTTCAGGAGGATGCTCGAGGGCTTCAGCTGAGCTGCGTCGGGAGGTACCTGGATCCCAGGGCGGGCTGCACAAGCAGCGCGACTTCCGCCTTCGTCTTCGACGAGGCGACCGAGGATCCTCCGGGACCCGGGTCGTCGGGCGTCTCTGGGGACTCTGGGGTGTCTGGGGCTGTCCCGATGAGTTCTGGGAGGTCTCCTGGGTGGGGGACAGGAGGCGGTGTATTACTTTTTGCAGGTGGGGCAAGTGGTGAAGGCAAGAGCAACAAGCATCGAATCGGGAAATCGACTGGGAACAGAACGCACGTCGAATCGCCCCGCACCAGCGCGCAGTCGTAATCAGATCGCATCGGCCGCGCCAGGATGTGCAGCGACGTCGTGTTAGCATCGGGCCGCATGGGATCGCTAAGCAGACGCTCCTGGCCGCAACTCTCCCTCATCTACAGTGGAGGCCAGTCCACAAGAAACCTTCCACAAGAAACCCAACCCTGAGACCCCAGGACGTCCATGGATTTTTGGTGTGGGCACGTCACGCGTTCCATGGCAAAACCATCGAAACCCAAGAAACCCAGGGCACCCTGGATGCAAGCAGGGTGATTCTTGGCATGGGCCTCCACTGTACGCCTAACTTTGCGCATCGCACCACGCGATGCGCGACATGCGGTCATCTTTGCGCGGTCGCGCCTGCACGGTTTCCCCCGGGGCCGTAGGCGACCCGAGGAGGAGGAGGAGGAGGAGATTTCGAAAATCCTGAGCCCAAAAGCGTTGTCATCTCTTGGGGACGCATTTTTACCTAACAGCGAAGACTGATAGGTTTCTAGTAGGGTCAAAAGAGAGCATCATGACGCCCCAAGGGGGTCTGGGCGCGATCCGGGGGAGGATGCCGGGGGGATGCTTAAGCAAACAATAACGCACTTCGTGGTCTTCGAGTTCCCAGAACTCCATTCCTGGGCATGATTTTGAATGCCCGGAGCCAACTGTAGGCCACTTCGTGTTCTTCGTGTTCCCAGAACACCATTCCCGGGCCACTTTTTGAATGTCCGGAGCCAACTGTAGGCCACTTCGTGTTCTTCGTGCTCCCAGAACACCATTCCCGGGCCACTTTTTTAATGTCCGGAGCCAACTGTAGGCCACTTCGTGTTCTTCGTGTTCCCAGAACACCATTCCTGGGCCACATTTTGAATGCTGAGGCAGGCTGATGCTGAGGCTGGGGCAGGCTGAGGCTGAGGCCGAGACTGAAGGCAGACTGAAACTGAGGCTGAGGCTGAGGCAGGCTGAGGCTGAGGCTGAGGCAGGCTGAGGCTGAGGCAGGCTGAGGCTGAGGCTGAGGCTGATGCAGGCTGAGGCTGAGGCAGCCTGAGGCTGAGGCCGAGGCTGAAGGCAGACTGAGGCTGAAGCTGAAGCAGGCTGAGGCTGAGGCTGAGGCTGAGGCAGGCTGAGGCTGAGGCTGAGGCAGGCTGATGCTGAGGCAGGCTAGTTCCCAGAACTGCATTCCGGGCCACATGTTGAATGCTGAGGCAGGCTGAGGCTGAGGCTGAGGCAGGCTGAGGCTGAGGCCGAGGCTGAAGGCAGACTGAGGCTGAGGCTGAAGCAGGCTGAGGCTGAGGCTGAGGCAGGCTGAGGCTGAGGCTGAAGGCTGAGGCAGGCTGAGGCTGAGGCTGAGGCTGATGCTGAGGCTGAGGCTGAGGCTGCAGGCTGAGGCTGAGGCCGAGGCTGAAGGCAGACTGAGGCTGAGGCTGAAGCAGGCTGAGGCTGAGGCTGAGGCAGGCTGAGGCTGAGGCTGAGGCAGGCTGATGCTGAGGCAGGCTGAGGCTGAGGCTGAGGCTGATGCAGGCTGAGGCTGAGGCAGGCTGAGGCTGAGGCCGAGGCTGAAGGCAGACTGAGGCTGAGGCTGAAGCAGGCTGACTGAGGCTGAAGGCTGAGGCTGAGGCTGAGGCAGGCTGAGGCTGAGGCAGGCTGAGGCTGAGGCTGAGGCTGATGCAGGCTGAGGCTGAGGCAGGCTGAGGCTGAGGCCGAGGCTGAAGGCAGGCTGAGGCTGAGGCTGAGGCTGATGAGGCTGAGGCTGAGGCTGAGGCAGGCTGAGGCTGAGGCCGAGGCTCTGAGGCTGAGGCTGAAGGCAGGCTGAGGCTGAGGCTGCAGGCAGGCTGAGGCTGAGGCTGAGGCAGGCTGATGCTGAGGCAGGCTGAGGCTGAGGCTGAGGTGATGCAGGCTGAGGCTGAGGCAGGCTGAGGCTGAGGCCGAGGCTGAAGGCAGGCTGAGGCTGAGGCTGAGGCAGGCTGAGGCTGAGGCTGAGGCAGGCTGATGCTGAGGCAGGCTGAGGCTGAGGCTGAGGCTGAGGCTCATGCAGGGTGAGGCTGAGGCAGGCGGAGGCTGAGGCCGAGGCTGAAGGCAGACTGATGCTGAGGCTGAAGCAGGCTGAGGCTGAGGCAGACTGAGGCTGAGACAGGCTGAGGCTGAGACTGTGATTGCGACTGCCGTTGCCACTGCGACTGTCATCGCGAATGCGACTACGACTGCGAGAGCAGAATTCTACAACTGGCTTCTCATCTGAATCTTGAGGGGAATGCTTCCAAATATGCTCCTACACATCGCTGTTAGGTTGCTTTGCCGGGATAATTTAATTCCGCCGCCTTCCGCCGAGCTTCCGCCAGCGGGGCGGCCTCGTTTTACTTCCGCCGACCTTCCGCCACCATCCGCCGCGGAAGAGATGACAACTCTTTCGATCCTCGAAGGCAAAACCCTTTTTGGAACGGCTCATATATTCGCGCCCCCGCGGGTGTCCTACATATCTTACCGACTGCAGGGGCCATGGCCCCCCAGGCCCAGGGAGGGGGAACATCGAACTGGAATCAGTGATCTTTTCTGCCCCGATACGCAACACGCATCCCGTAGCGTGTTGAGACGGAGCTCAACACGTGGACAGACAACGTAGATCTGGCCCGATCTTCGCCAAAACATGGGCCAATACGTTGAGCCAGCACGCAACATATTGGCACGGACGTTCTGAGCACAGCACGTGCTGTGTATCAAAACGGGCGTATCGAGGCAGCTAGGTCGGTGATACATCGCCGATGGATCGGCGACAGGCCCCCGAGAACGACTTCGCACGCTCCTGGGCGGAGTAGGCTATCCGGGCCAGTGCCGGCGACGAATGGGCGATCGGGCGACGATGCGTCCCCCCCCCGAGCCTACCCCCGCAAGCGTTGTTGCCCCTGGCCTCCCCCCCCCGGCGCCTCCAGCGGTCGGAGGGCACGTCGCGAGGCCGCTTCGTGCCATGGACCACTCCGCCTCGGCGGCGGAGGCGGCGGCGGTGGCGGCGGCGGCGGCGACGACGACGACGATGACGACGACTGCCCCGCGGGACGCGCCGGGCGACGGCGGGCGGCGGGCGGCGGCCGCAGCGGCCGTAGCGGCAGCAGCGCCCCCGGAGGCTCTCGCGACCCCCGAGAGGCGCGCGCGCTGGAATCCGTGCACGACGCCTGCGCCGCTCGCAGGGAGGAGGAGGAGGAGGAGGAGGAGGAGGAGGAGGAGGAGGAGGAGTAGGAGGAGGAGGAGGAGGAGGAGGAGGAGGAGGAGGAGGAGGAGGAGCCGAGAGCGTGGAGCACTGGCGCCCATGGCCCCTGCGGGGCCCCCAACCCGGCCAAGAGCGGCGCGCCCTTCCAGACGCCGACCGCCGCATCCCCTCTCCATCTTCCGGTCTGGCCGAGGGGGTCGCCGCCCGGGCACTTTTAGCGCGGCCGGCATGCGACGAGCGCGCGCGCGCGGGCGCAGGAGCCAGTCTCCCTCCCAGCGCGCGCCAGTGGAGGAGGGGCAGAAGCAGGGGGAGGGAGGAGGAGGAGGAGGAGGAGGAGGAGGAGGAGGAGGAGGAGGAGGAGGAGGAGGAGGAGGAGGAGGAGGAGGAGGAGGAGGGGGGTTCATTTCAATGGGTTGGGATTTCAATGGGTTGGGATTTCGGCCATGGCCCGTCCAGTGGTGTCGGCGTCCGCTGGGGAGGCGTTTTTTGCCGCGCCCGCTCGGCGATCGGCCCTCCACAGCCGAGGGTCCTGGAGGGTGCTGGAGCCTCTGGGGCAGCGGAGGCGGCAGCAGCACGAGCCGCAGTGGAAGCACCAGCACGGAGGGCAAACAGCACACTAGAGCAACGAGACGAACCCAACATCGGTTCTAGATTACGCCGCGGGGGGTGCCTCACGCGCTTAGTTTATGTTTGATGTCGTGATGCAGCCACTTTGGTGTCGAAGAAATGCCACGCCTGCCACGCCCTGGGAGCCTGGGGCGGGCAGGAGAAGCACCGCCAGAGCAATCCCTCTGGTGTCGAGGAAATGCTACGCCTGCCACGCCTGCGTGCCTGGGGCGGACAGGGGAACAACCCCCTGCACATCCCCTGGTGTCAAGAAATTGCAGCGCCTGCCACGCCCTGCGAGCCTGGAGCGAATAGGAGAACCGCCGCCAACGCACCGCCTGTGGTGTCGAGGAATGGCCTCACCTGCCACGCCCTGGGAGTCTGGAGCGGATGAAAGAAGAACCGCCAGCGCACCCCCTCTGGCGTCGAGGAAGTGCCCCGCCTGCCCCGCCCTGCGAGCCGGGGGGGATAGGGGAATCACCCCAAGCGCACTCCATCTGGCGCCAAGGAATTGCAATGCCTGCCACGCCCTGCTATCCTGGAGCGAATGAGAGAATCGCCGTAAAGGAGGGAATAGGAGGAGGGGGAGGAGCGAGGAGGTGGAGGAGGAGGAAGAGGAGAAGGAGGAGAGAGGAGGAGGAGGAGGAGGAGGGGGGAGGAGGAGGGGAGGAGGGAGGAGAGGAGAGGAGGAGGAGGGGAGGAGAGGAGGAGGACGAGGGTGAAGAGGAGGAGGAGGAGGAGGAGGTTTCTAGGTACACGGCAGCACGCGGCGCGGCGTGGCACTGCCAGCTGTGCTTCCACGTCAGGCGTCAGGGGTCTTCGAGCAGGCCCGGTGCGGATAGGGGGCCTCCTCAGCCCCCAGGAGACGAAGGAAAGGAGGAGAGGGAGGGGAGGAAAGGAAAAGAAGGAGGAGGGGGAGGAGGAAGGAGGAGGAGGAGAGGAGGAGGAGAGAAGAGAAGGAGGGAAAAGGACGAGGAGGCAGAGGAGAAGAGGAGGAAGGAGGAGGAGGAGGAGGAGGAGTGAGGAGGAGGAGGAGGAGGAGGAGGGAGGAGGAGGAGGATGAGGAGGAGGAGGAGAGGAGGAGGAGGAGGGAGGAAGGAGGAGGGGAGGGGAGGAGGAGGAGGGGAGGAGGAGGAGGAGGAGGAGGAAGAGGAGAAAGAGGAGGATGGAGGAGGAGAGATGGAGGAGGAGGAGGAGGCGGAGGAGGAGGAGGAGGAGAAGGAGGAGAGGGAGGGGGAGGGGGAGGAGGAGGAGGAGGAGCAGGACCAGGAGGAGGAGGAGGAGGACGGCGGGGAGGAGGAGGAGGAGGAGGAGGAGGAAGGAGGGAAGAGGAGAGGAGATGGTGGGAGGATGGGGAGGGAGAGGGGGAGAATGAGAACAAGAAAAGACAAGACAAGACAAGACAAGACAAGCCTGCACTCTGGCCCTCGAAGGGCGGTCCTAGAAGAGGGCAGGAGCCCTGGGCACGCAATCCCTCACCTCGCACTGGAAGAGACACTGGTGTGTCGCTGTCTTCATCCCGGGCTCAGAGGTTGTTCCTTCACAACAGGCTCAAAAGGTTGTTCGTTAATATTCGTAGTTGTCAGGTTATGCCGCACAAGTTTGCCACAAACTGCTGATATCCTGTGCGCTGATGAAGCGTCGTCGTCCCTACGTCTCCTTGGTCTGCCAGTAAGACGGCGTGCTGAAATAGGAGAAGGAGGAAGGGGAGGAAGAGGAAGAGGAAGAGGGAGGACGAGGAGAGCGTACAAAGAGGAGAAGGAACGAGGAGGAGAGAAGAGGAGAGGAGGAGGTGGAAGGATGAGAAAGAGGAAAGAGGAGGTAGAAGGAGGGAGAAGGGAGGGGAATGCGGAGGAGGAAGGACAAAAGGGGGTGAGGAGAGGCGATCCGCAAACGACCCCCTTTGACCGCATTGGAGACATGGCGAGGTCGAGTTCGGACCCTTGCCCGCAAAGCCATCACACGAACACTGGCCTCTAGAATCGTGAGGCCAAGAGGTGTGAGGAGGCAGGGGAGCAAGGGGAGAGAGAGCAGGAAGATCTAGAGCGCACCAGGGGGAGCAGGGGCAGGAGCGGCATCAGGAGAATAGGCAGGACAAGGAGGAAGAGAAGGAGGAGGAGGAGGAGGAGAAGGGGGAGGAGGCGGAGGAGAAGGGGGAGGAGGCGACGGAGGAAGAGGAGGAGGAGGAGGAGGAGGAGGAGGAGGAGGAGGAGGAGGAGCATCAGGGGGCAATGAAGCAGCAGCAGAAGCAAGAGCACAAGGAGGACGAGGAGCGCTGGAACAGGGCTGCACGCGCTCCCGGCGTCGGTCCACGCGGATGCCTGTGCTCACGGCGGCAGCCAGCCCTGCCCTGCGGTCCACCCCGAAACCACTACGGGGACGGAGATGAGCCAGGCAAGCTTCATGACTCGGCTGACTGCGGCCAATCGGCTCCACAACTGCCGTTGGTCGGCGGCGCCCATGGGGGGAGGGCCGCAAGGGTGGGCAGCCTCAGCAGGCTCACGGGCCTCCGGCCTCCCGGGGAGGCTTTGGGGGCCTGCTCCGAAGCCACACTCGGGCTTCTCGGGAGACCGGGGGGGCTTCTCAGAGGCCTCGCCGCCTGCTGAGAAGGCCTGCCCCCCTCCCACGTCCACCCTCGACGCGCAGCCGAGCCGGGATGACGAGCGCGGTATGCACATGCACTGTGCACCGATCCTGGCCAGGCCCATCTTGAGCCCAGGGTCGGTGCATACGCCTTCCTGCCTTGCCCAGGAAAGCACATGCACCGATCCTGGGCCCAGGATGGACCTGGGCAGGATCGGTGCATGCGCATAATTCCCTTCGCCCGAAGACGGCCCCGCGCAAATCTTACTGCGACAGGGTCTTGAGGCACTCAAGCAGCTGTGACAGCTCCTCTTCGGAGAAGGCCACGAGGTGCACTTCCTTCAGCCCCTCGTAGCTGTTGCTCGAGACGCTGTTTATGGCAATCAGCAGTATCTCACGCAGTGACTGAGGCCCCCTGTTGGAGGCCACCCAAGTGCAACTGGACGACGACGACAACGACGACGACAACGACGACGACAACGACGACTGACGACGACTACCGCGACTGACGACTGATGACTGACGACTGACGACGAAGACGACGACGACGATGACTGACGACGACGACGACGACGACGACGACGACGACGACGACGACGACGACGACGACGACGACGACGACGACGACGACGACTGGCGACGACGACGACGACGGCAACGAGGACGACGACGACGACGACGACGACGGCGACGACGACTAACGACCACGACGACTGACGACGAAGACGACGACGACGGCCAGAATATGCTGGATCGAAAGATCGCACCGCTTCGCCGGTACCTAAGTGATGCATCGGCGACGTCAGGAGGGACAGCGTCGGGCTCCAGAACGCGTCGCATCGCCGACGCACCGGCGAAAAGCGCGATCCTCCGACCCCACAGCTTCGGGGGAGGGCCAGCGAAGACCATGGGGGCTCTGCCGCACGGCCCACGCCCGCGCAGACTCTTTCCCTACAGCGGTGGCCACTCCACAAGAAACCCAACCCTGATGCCCCAGGATGTCCGTTGATCTTTGGTGTTGGAACGTCACGCTTTCCGCAGCAAAACCGTCGAAACCCAAGAAACCTGGGGCACCCTGGAGGCAAGCAGGGTGTTTCTTGGCATGGGCCTCCTCCGTACACCCCTCCTGGCATCCTGATTCGGTGTTCGAGGCGCACCCAACCGTGGCGACGACGTGCCTCCAGGAGGCACACCGAAAGGAAACAACACCAACAACAACAACAACAACAACAACAATTACTAGCACGTGGGGACACTCCGTTCTCACCAGTGCCAGGGTTTTCATAGGAGGCGGGCAATACCCCCACTTTGTGGGGGGGCCGGTTCAAGCTCTACCAAATTTCCAAACGACTCTTCGCCACCACCCACACACAGCTTCCCGCCCTATGACGTTCGGACACTTCACTTCGTGGCATGCGGACGACCGTGGCTACTATTCAGGGCCCCGCGGCCGACGACGACGGCGTGCGCGCGCGAAGAAAAAACGAATGTGTCCCGCATGGTATTATTTGACAGGGATGATGGCCCTGGCAGGTGCGCAACCGTTGATGCAGAAGTTCGAAAAAGTTGCTCGCAAAAGCCCGTTTGACAGAAATGTTTAAAAAGTGTTGGGTTTCCTACGAATCCGCAAGAGCGCGCGGGATGAAATTTCGACATTTTTTTTTTTGAAAAACCATTGGTTTTTGATGTTTTTATGTTAAAATCGCTGCGAACACTAAGGTTTTGGAAGGATTTCGTCTTGCGCGC